TTTTCCTTCCAACATTTTATTCTATCCTGTCATTTTGTCAATTATCTTTAAGGCTATTCTGCCAGTTCAGTGCAGTCAGCAGAAAACAAAGGAGGGAGACTGGTTTTTTTTTTTTTTTTTTTGGGGGGGGGGGGGGGAGATGAAAAAACAAAAGTACCCAACATCCCAAGCTATTTGAAGCCTCTAAAGTGGTAGAATGACTCAGTGAAAAATGAAACCCAGTCCACTCAACAAGGTATCTTAACCAAATAAGATATTATAAAAATAGGAAATAAAAGTTGTCCTAAATAAGTAAAACAATATTCACTCATGCAGACACGCACACATGCTTGAATCTTGCAGTCAGGAGTTTAGCTCAAATCTTTCTTTTCTTGGTCACCTCAAAATGGGGGAGAGGAAAGACTACTGGAACTGACCCCCCACTCACTGAGGATTACATAGGGTCTTTGCAACAATTAGAGACTTCCCTGTTACAGAATCATTTATTGGATTAACTCATATCAAACCACAAAATTATTCCTGGATCAAAAGCTGTTCTGGCTTGGATCAGAAATGCAATGCTGCTGCAGGATAGCTTTGCACCCTTCTGCATCCACAAGCTCTTGTTGCACTACTGTAGAATACATCTTTGGAAAAACTAGATCCTGCCAGGAGCACAGAATTTCTGTTTCCACAGAAACCACACCACTGAAGTCTGCAGAGGGCATATGTAGAGTGAGAACATCTGTGACCACTTAGGTTAATTGCCTTTCCCAACTCTTCCCCCACTTCTGGTCTCTGATGGCCCTCTGAAGATCAATGGCAGATCACCAGGCATCTTGTTGCAGGCTTTCTGCCATCCTGCCCTGTCTCCTGGGGTTATCTAAAGCTGGTTTTAAATCTGTACCCAGAGGGTCTCAGAGGTCTACTTATAGAGAGTCTGCTGTCTCCTTTGTTGAGGGCTTCCTCTCTCTCTCCCTGGACAGACCATTTACTCTCTCTGCTCTTCAGATCTACAGCTGTAGCAACAGCTAGGGAAGCTTCCCAGGTCTAATGTGTTACGTCTTGTGTGATAGGTTCAGATACAGCTGTGATAGGAATCGTGTAAGTACCTGCTTTTAATAGTTATTTTAATCTTTACCTTGCTTTGATAACAAATAAATATTTTCAGATAAAAGGGATACCAAGATATTGCATTATGTTACAGATATTTCAAACGTGCTATGCTATCTAAATATACATTTTCATTGTTATTACTCTCTCATATATAGTCTTTTCTAAGATTGTTGATAGTGCCAAAAAAATGAATATCAAAAAATATATTGATAGTGCTGATGTGTGAAAATGATTCAAGCCTTACCTCCTCTGCCAATACACTTAATCTAAAGTCAAGCTACAAAAAGGAAAGAAAGAAAATGAGATTTTTAAAAAGCAAGTTTGAAACCGCTATTGAAAGCCACAACAGTCAAAAAACGACTGCAGCAAATGAAAACAAGGGCTGAAATCCATGCAGTTGCCATCGCCTCAGGTTTCATTGTGGTTCTACCTCAGTGCTACAGCGGCTTGCTAGTTTCCGTTTTGAAACTCTTCAGATGTGGGAAGTTGGCTGTGGCTGTAGAGACTGGGGGTGTCAAGAGCAAGATGAGGTATCAAAGCTGAAGGAAACAATTGAAACTAGTTATTTTTGGCAATGATTATTAAGAGCCAGTGCAGGGATCTTTAGCAATGTAGGACCAATTTATAACACCCTTCTGTTTTTTCAGGCCATCAGAGGCATGCCCAGGGACAGAGTGAAATGTCCTTACTCGCTTCTTCAGACCATCAGCAACCCACATACTGAAACTATAAAAATCTTCAGTTACCCAAAAAATGTGAAGACACAAATTTCACTACATTTAAGGACAAATTTCAGTACAATTGACCGTGAGAGAAATTCTGGCCTGTTAAATGTGTGTAAACCTTTGTTTGCATACACATGATAAGAGTATTCACAGCAGGCATGTGTTCCTATTAAACTGAAAAATTGCTCATTTCTTTGGAGGCTTAAAGTATTTGGGACAAATTATACTTTAACTTTTCACCAAGACTGTACTCCCCAACGGTTCTTATGGCAACATCAGAATTTTGACTGTAATTAATAATTAATAATATTTATAAAGTCTACGTATATTCAGAGTACACATAATTTTGTCCTGTGTCTCCCGTGAAAGTAAATAATCCATGGAGCCCTGTATCTGCAGATGGAATGACCTCAGAAGTCCTTAATGCTATTGCAGTCTTATTACATACAGCTGGAGGTATATTATTCCTTACATATTTGCCAGGTTTTTCATTTTGTTTTTCACAATATAGTAGATACCCTGGTGATGGCAACAAAGACCAAGATTTTGCTCTATTTTGCTTACATCTCAGTGGTCACCTGTTCCTGCATTATTTCTGAACCTCTCACCCTTTTGCTGTCAAGAACTGAATCTGAAAATTGTGGGGGAAAGTTTCGTTCAGGTTAGTGTCTGACATTGCTGCTACAGTTGTGGATGGGATTCAGTTACTGCTGAAGTGGTGGAACATCCACCCTTCCAGTGCTAAAGTTCAAGTCAGTCACTAAATGAACCGCAGACCCTCTGAGGTGGGTCTGGAGGGAGTGCTGGAGTCGGGACGCCGGCCTTGTGCCAGGGTGGGGGGACTGGGGCGTCTGTGCTCGCCTGGCTGCACGGCTCCCATCCAGCACATCCCTGCAAACAAAAAGAAAACCGGGCCTAAGCACCAGCCAGCTGGCTTCGTGGAGGAGGAGGCGGCTTCTACATAGGCTTGGCTTCTACAAGGCACAAAGCAATGAATCCGTTCTGCCTGTGTGACGGGAAGCTGCAGCTGACTCACTGCTGGAGCTCCTCTTGGGAGGCACAAGTGCCTACAAACCTGACTGACACCTTAGTTTCCTCACTAAACAAAGTTATCTAGTCATAAATAAACATGTCAATTCTGGCAAAAATGCAGAGAATGAGCACATTTCAGAATAATAATGGTGTAAGAGCTTAAGTCTTGAGCTCGGCATCCTCTCTCTTTGCCTGAACAACCAGCCAGGAACAAAACAACTGCGCGCTCGCCCAGGCTAGAGCAGGGGCCTGTACAGGTTTCTCAGAGCTCAGGGTAAAAGACCCCAACCACCACCCAGATCTTTCTATCGACATGAGACTGTCCTTTTCAATTTCGATGTCAGGAGCCAAGGCTTCCTCCAGCCCCTCAAAACACAGATCCCAAGCAAAACACTCCTGCTGGCTCCTGCCTTCCCAAAATGACAGCTTTCCCCTCGCTGCCTGCTGTTTGCACCCCTCTGCAGCCACAGGGGCTGTGCTGCTTCCGCCATCCGAGCCCTGCCTGTGCTCTGTGACTCAGGCTGGGCACCAGGCGGGACTTAATGCTGCTCAAAGCAGCAATGACTTTCTGCATATTTTAGTGCAGGTCTCAGACAGTTTGGAGCATCCTTCTTCCAGGCTATTTTTGTGCTCAGCCCATTGCCCGTCTTCTGTTCTGCCTCTTTGGAGAGTGGCTGGGGGACGACGGGACGATCTCTGTGGTCACCTTCTCTTCCTCGCAGCTCCTTAATCGCTGCCTCTGAGCAGAGGCCTGTAATAATAACCAACAAAAATTAGACTGAGCTATTAAATGAATGGGTGACCGTATTAGCATGAAAGAAGATGATAACAGCAACAACCATGGCCAAAACAACTGCAAAGCAGATCTTCAGATAACAAAAATTATTACATTATTATACTTTTAATTTCTGATGAACCAACGTGTTCCTATGAATTACTGACCAAAACATATTCAAATCCTAAGGCAGGAAGTCTTTCTAAGCTTTCCCTTAATCAGTGGTGCCACTGAATACATTAGAAGACATCTGAGTTTACACTCCTTTCTTCTCTGACCACAAGCACATACACAAATCCGTACCATGATGGGATTGCATCAGTGGGAGTTTTGACCAAGCAAGGGTTGCAGAGTCAGGCCCCACGCAGAGCCCTAGACACAGCCTTGTTCTTATTTGGGATAAAAGTGAATGCATTTTGATGAGCTAAGCAACCAAACTGGGTTAATATCCAGTTTGTCAACAAACTTGTTTTGGCATGCTGGCTAGACCATAGCCGTTTACCCCGAGTAAACCCAATCTTGGATTGTTTTGTCCCCGGAAAAATGAAGCACCCTGAAATTTCCCTTGCAGTTGGTTGTGCCAGCTATGTGAGGAGAGAGCTAGGAGCTCGCAGAGGCCTTCGCAAGGATTTGGGAGGCTTTGGGCCGAGGACTAGCTGGGAACCTCTACCATTCCAGGCAGACAAATCATGCATGCTCAGAGCAACATGGTGCTGAATGTGCAAAGAGCGAGTCCACGCTGCTCGTGCAATGTGAGGATGTTCTCTGCCTGTGCCTGCATCAGCTGGAGGAAGAGCTGTTTTCCCAAACGTCAGGAAAACTCCACTGTCGGCTGACCAGTGCTGAGGAGCTGGGGGCACCTCTTGAACCACACCAGAACTAACACAGCCGGAACTAAATATACTCTATTATTTAGTGTGTTTACCTATAAATATAGGTGCATATATATATATAAAACCTATAAATATGGGTAATAAATAGCAATCCATGCCCTTTCACAAGCACATAAGGGCTTCCTGAAGATAGACATACAACCCATCAAGTGCCTTCCAAAGTATTTTTCCGGTCTTTCAGAACAAGGATTGTGTTTACAGCATTTACGAACATGTTTACAGCCTCAGCTACAAAAACCTGTCAAAATATTGCAATGGAAATTCAGGCACGTTGTTTTTCTTTTGTTTTTGGTGCAGGGGAGGTTATTTTTTTATTGTTACAGATTATTTTTAGAATTTGGTGAAGGCTTTGGCTGGCTTTATAGCAAAAGCTGCTGTCATGTAAACACCAGTTACTTCTCAAAGACAAAAATGCATGTATGGTTCTAATTTTAAGTACATGAGGTCATCGGTTAAGTGTTCGAGAACTGTGTGCCGGTCGGACACGAGCAGATAGATGCATCGCAGAGTCTTGTTGATCTGATTTCAGCGTCAAGTGGGTGAAGGACACTGGCTGGCTCAGGTGCACAAATAAACGTCTTGATTTACAGAGATGCTGACACAGGGTTTTACGAGCCTCCAGAAAGTCTGTGACTTGTGGACGCGGAGCTGTGCGGGAGGCGGGCAGGGCTGCCCACCGTCCTTTCTAAGGCCGACTCCCGGTAATGGGCGAGTCCCTGTGGCAACCCACTCGCCAAGCTGCAGCGGGCCCCGGCACCCCCGCGGG